TGTATAAGCTCTGTGAGAGCGAGACTGGGTATACTCAGACCTTCCAGGTGTATGAGGGAAAGGATAGCCACCTTGACCCTCCAGGTTGCCCAGAACATATGGAAACCAGTGGAAAGATTGTCGGGGACCTGATATCCCCCCTGATGAACAAAGGGTACCACTTGTATATAGACAATTTGTATACAAGTGTCCATTTGTTCAAGCTACTGTATTGTTTTGATAAAGTAGTTTGCGGTACAATTAATAGGAACCGCGTAGGTTTCCCAGGACAACTTGCAAGCACCTGGCTATGAAGGGGGAGACCTCAGCTCTGAGCCAAGAGGAGCTGTTGGCAGTTAAGTACAGAGACAAGAAGGATGTGTACCTTCTTACCACCATCCACACTGAGAGAGGACTGTGGAGATCTCTGTACAAGGCAGAGCTGAGAGCACAATGAAGGCCAGTGTGCCTCAAGGCCTATAACCGACATTTGGGTGGGGTTGATCTGGCAGATCAGCTGTTGCAGCTCTACCTAATTATACATAAGGCAAGAGCATGGTACATAAAGATTCCTATTTACTTAATGCAGATTGCAACCCACAAAGCTTTTTTGTTGTTCAAAAAAGCAAACCCCAGAATGAAACTGACTTTTTTTACAGTTTCAGCTCAAGGTCATTTCGGGGATTTTGTACCAATATCATACACTGGTCCGTTTTTAATTCTTTTTTTTACATTTGCTGTTCAGTTTTTTTTTGGGTTACGTTTACTGTTCCGGAGTTTGATTGTTTTTACTTTTACTGCGCCAGTCTATTTTTATGATCAAATTCAACCTATGCATGGGGGCATAGGTGTACTCAGGAGGCCATGCAGAAAACAAGCTGGAGTGCTTTCTTGCAATAACCGACAACAGGCTCTCCTAAATCACAGTCAAAAAAGCAATGTGTGTGTAAAAATTTAAATTGAAAAAGTATCACCACACACGGTCTCCAATTTTTTGGGCTAAAACAATTGCATCAAAGCACTCCATATACAATACCTCGGGGTGTCTACGTTTCAAATATATAAACTTTAATGGCAATAAATAAAACTGGGGTATGTGATAGGCCCCAAACTAAAGAGTGGCCTATCAGAAGAAATACTCTCAATATTAACTCAAATTACAAGTCATACAATTGTAACTGAACCTTCCCAAAATCCTCGCAAACCTATGCATGGGGGGCATGGTTGCACTCCGGAGGCCTTGCAGAAAACAACCTTGAGTGTTTTCTTGCAATAACCAACAACAGGCTTCCCTAAATTACACACAAATGTGTGTTTAAAAATTAAAATTGAAAGATTACCACCACAAATTTTCTCCAATATTTTTGGCAACAACGGTTGCATCAAAACACTCCATATACAATACCTTGTCAACTTTTCAAATATATGCACATTCATGGCAAGAAAATAAATTGGGATATGTAAAAAGGCCCCCCCAAAAAAGATATGTTAAATTTGAAAAACACCTGTCAGAAGTTTGGCATTGCACCCCCCAAACAATCCAACAAACATATGCATAGGTGGTATCACTGTACTCAGATGTTGCTGAACACATAAAGGGGTGTTCATTGGCAGTAATACATAACACGAGCTGAAAGTACAATGTGTGTGACAAATAACAAAAAAATTACTACCCAAAAGGTTGACAAAGACTGGTGGTAGAATAAGTTATTGGAAAGTGTTAAAATACCACCATCTGAAATACCCTAGGGTGTCTACTTTTCAAAACGATATGGTTTGATGGGGGGTAATTACTTCAAAAAATGTCCCAAAATAGGACATGGGTGCATGATGACCAGATGTGAAAATTCCAAGTTGGAAAACTGGAATGCACACCCTCCAAATAAGGTCTGTTAGCCCCAGAAAACCAGACACACCTGTACATGGGTGGTATCACTGTACTCAGGTGATGTTGCTGAACACATATTGGGGTGTTTTTTTGGCAGTAACCCTTAAAGTTCTCTGTACATGTATTCTTACATTGCTATGTGTGTTAAATTAGGCATAGATTGGTGGTAAAATGGTTGCATGAAAAGAGTCAAAATACCCCAAGTTTAATACCTTAGGTTTTCTTCTTTTAACAAATATGTACATGTGAATGGTTATTCAGGGCTTCCTGACAGATATCAGTGTTACAATGTAACTGTGTTACTTGTGAATGAAAAAAAAAATGGTTTGGAAATAGCAAAGTGCTACTTGTACTTATTGCACTATAACTAGCAAAAAAAAGCTGAGAACATGTTAACATTGTGTATTTCTAAGCTCAGAACAAAATGTAGAAACTATTTATCATGGGTGTTTTTGGCGGTTGTAGATGCGCAACAGGTTTTGGGGGTCAAAGTTAGAAAATGTGTGTTTTTTAAAATTTTTATATTTTATAATTTTTTATAGTAAATTATATGATATGATGAAAATAATGGTATCTTTAGAAAGACCATTTAATGGCGAGAAAAACAGTATATAATATGTGTAGGTACAGTAAATAAGTAAGAGGAAGATTACAGGTAAACACAAACACTGTAGAAACGTAAAAACAGCCCTATGGAAAGAAACCACAACGGAAAGAAAATTGAAAAGCGGTCTGGTCAAGAACCTATAATGGAAAATGAACAACAGAAATATACGGATGAGTGAAATGAGTGATATAGGAAAAAATGCAGGCAAGCCTCTGTCTAAAGGTCACTCCTAACCTGTTATAAACATAGAAACCAAACTGTAAAGATAAAATCAATACCAAATAACAAGGCGCCACAGTCACTATAGTTGCCAGCTTCTATGGAGTATTCTCATAATGGAGAGAATAAAACATTTTTTTTAAGAATAGTGTACAATTTATTTAAAAATAAAATGTAAAAGGTTCTACAGAAACATTAAGCAACGGCACAAAGCGTAAATGTGCAACAATCACAGTCATAAGTCCAAATGGGCAAAAATAAAAACAACCCTTATGGGTAGCAGCCAGCTTCTAACATTGCACAAAAACTCCAAATAGATTCAAGTAAGGGAAAGTATAAGGTGCTTGATATTGTCACATCCTGTTCTGCGGTGATGTCTGGCTTTGGCTTCTGGTATCCATTACTCTTTTTACAATTCTTATTTAATTTTTCTTGGTTTTCTGGTTTTGTATTCTATATCTGGTTTTTTTATGTTGGGTTTTCTGGATTCATTCCTTTATTCCGTTCCTGGAATTCCCAGTCTTCTGGATTCCTTTAAATGTTTGTTTTTATGTTGCCACATCCGTTCCTTTGCCATTAATCCTTTTGTTTCAGTTGGTTCCTGCAGGCAGTTGCTTCATGTCCTCTGCCCCTTTCTTTGCAGGTAAATACTGTGTGTTTTATTGTTTATTTAGTCATGCATATCTAGGCAGTTAGAACCCACCATACTTTGCCGCAGTGGTGGGCTGCATACATCTTGGCCATTTATGTACCGGTATGTCTAAATCTCCAATGTTTTACATATATAAAACTTAGCTATGTCTCCTTTTGTTTAGCCTTATATCTTTGCCTTATATCTCTTGTCTTGTATTCCCAGTTCATGTACAGTCCTGTCCTGTTTAGGTTTCCCTCATGTATTGTGTACATGTTAAAAGTTAGTTTTACCAGCTTAGGCCCATATATCTTTCTTGTTCTTTGTTTAATGGTTTTATTTCCCTACTTAAATACCTCTATCTTATCTCTGTAATTCTCAATCTTGCCCTTAGTTTTTCCTTAAATGACCTTAAATCAAATGTCCATCTATGCATCCCCCCCATCTCTTAGCCCATCTGACCCTACTATACATATCTCTCCCACAGTCTGATTTTTAAACTTACTCAGTCCAGCAAGGAACTCAGAGTTCAATCAGCTGTTCCACGGCCATTTGCAACAGGTAGCCTTCTGCAAGACTGATTGCTCTCCCACCCCATGCTCATTTCCTCATTTATAGATAGTCTCCCACATAACTTTCAATCCCCTGAAATGACAGGTGCAAACACTGATCAGCACACCCTTCCAATCTCTTAACCGTATAGTACACATACCCTCTCTCCTTACAAATAGATATATATCACACACCAATATTAAATACTTTTATTTAATTTGTTTTTCACAATTTGTTTCATTTTCAACTACACACCTCATGCCACTAACATGAATCCAAATATAACCATACTGTTATTCTTAATAACCCTTTTCTCAATCCAATTTTGTTCTTATGACTACCAGCATAAGCACACACCTCAAACTGGAACACAAATCATCATACACCATGGCCTGCTCTGTTGCTGTAACTTGTCTGCTTAGTGCTGGTGGAGAGTTCTAAAAAATACCCCCACCCAGTGGCGTCTCTAGGATTCATTTTTAGGGGGGCACATGGTGGGCCAGGGACAAAAGTAGGGGGGCACATTGTACCCCGCCCTCGCCGCAGTTGGACCCCGCCCCTGCCGCATGTTAAGCCCCACCCCGATACAATTTTTTAATACTCCCTGGTGGAGGATTCATTATTTTCCACCAGGGATCACTAAAAAAACAAACACATTTCCCTTGATACAGTGCCATAGTTGGCACTGTATCCATATACACAGTCTGTATACACACACACACAGAAACACAGACTGCTGAGTCCATACACACACACACACACACACACAAACACACAGACTGCTGAGTCCATACACATACAAAAGCTTCCTCACTAGCAGACACACACACACAGACTTCTGAGTCCATACACACACTGCTGAGTCCATCCACACACACACACTGCTGAGTCCATCCACACACTGCTGAGTCCATCCACACACACACTGCTGAGTCCATCCACACACACACACTGCTGAGTCCATCCACACACACACACTGCTGAGTCCATACACACACAAAAGCTTCCTCACTAGCAGACACACATACAGACTGCTGAGTCCATCCACACAGAGACTGCTGAGTCCATCCACACAGACTGCTGAGTCCATCCACACACACACACACACACACACAGACAGCAGTCTGTGTGTCTGTGTGTGTATGGACTCAGCATTCTGTGTGTCTGTGTGTGGACTCAGTAGAGTCCATACACACACACACACACACACACAGACTGCTGAGTCCATACACACACACACACACACACAGACTGCTGAGTCCATACACACACACACACAGACTGCTGAGTCCTTACACACACAGACTGCTGAGTCCATACACACATACATAGACACACAGACTTTGACACAGTAGACCACAACATTCTACTGCACAAACTCAAAAATTCAGGCATTGGTGATTGTTCACTAACCTGATTTTGATCGTATGTATCGGATCGCTCGCAATATGTGTCCATTTCTGACAGCGACTCACTCCCTCTCCCAGTTACGTGTGGTGTTCCTCAAGGCTCCATTCTTGGCCCCCTACTATTTACATTATTTATGAATGATCTGCCTAATGTCTGCAGATCCTCAAATGTACACATGTACGCAGACAACACAGTAATCTATGCAAGCAAATCCGATCTACCACAGCTTGAGGCTGTGCTCCAAGACCAGTTTACAGAGGTAGAAAAGTGGATCGCAAAAAACAAGCTCTTCCTAAACACTGACAAAACTGTCACAATGATCTTTTGAACAGTACCTAAATTACACAAATTACACAATTCCTACCTATCCATCAAAACAAAATCAAATAATATACTGACCGCAGTCCACTCTTTCAAATACTTGGGTATGTTGTTAGACCCCAATCTATCTTTTGGCCTCCACATAGAAAAACTTGCATCTAAAATTTATCCAAAACTAGGTGCCCTGTACAGAAACAAATCCTGCCTAAGCCCTACAGTAAAGGAAAAGATTGTACAGCAAATGCTGATGCCAATCATTGATTATGGGGATGTAGTATATGCATCTGCATCGCATTCCCTCATTAATAAACTCAATACATTGTATAACTCGTTCTGCCGATTTGTGCTACAATGTAATTACAGGACCCACCATTGTGACATGCTAAAAGAACTAAACTGGCTAGGAATCTAGACGCACCCTGTGGCGAAACCGACCTCGCCACTGGGCATTGGAGAAGACTGATTGCCAGCCTCCTGCCATGTGACTATGGCCCCTGGGACGTATTGCCCTATAACGACATGATTTGGGCATAATGGATTTGTGTTGTGCTGCTGCTGGCCCTTTAAGAACCATCTGGGGACATACTGTGGAGTTACTGGGTGGCCACCATTTCATGTATCAGAGGCACATGGTGAGAACAATGGATGAAGCACATGGTAAGAACAATGGATGGCGGCCATTTTAACTCACAGACACTGTTTGGATTTTTCAACATGGTGTCATCTCGCCGGTATTTGGTGCACAGAGACATCGTGCAGTGGTTTTGGACTATACAACAGGGGACACATTATACTGTAATTGTTTTTCATATAGCCTGCATATGTTCTGTGGAATCTGCATTAAACTGTATCTTCCAAAGTACTGAACGGATCTGGGTGAATTTTGGATACGTGGTTCACCCATATCCCCCGGTTCCGAGGATATACTTTTTATGGGGTTATTGTGTTTTGGGGTCCCTGTGATGTGTTTTATGATACTGTATTTTTCCTGCTTGTGATAATTAGGTTAACCCATTGTGTGCCATAATTAGATCACAAGCAGAGGGGAGGATTTTGTGTATAATTGCTGGGAGTGTTTTCTGTAATGTACGTGTGTTATTGGTTGTTCTGTAAAACCCTGTGGGCAGTACTAAATTTGTGGATTGGGAATAAAAGAGGCTGTATGTCCCAGTACAGGTAGTTCTGCTTGACCTCAAAACTAAGTGTCGTCTCGTTATTGGGGGAATTGGATTGTATGCTGATTGCCATGAGTGTAAGCTGATTGTATGCTTTTCCTGTTCAGCTGCTTACAGCATTCATATGCTTGAGAGCATTCGTATGCTTCTCCAGTTCGGTGGTTGTGGTGTCTGCTGCAGTGCTTGGAGTCCTCAGGAAGCGCTAGGAGCATCCTTCAACGGAGGTACCCAGTCAGGGTGCCAGGTGATCCGTTACACATTCATTTTTCCAGCATTGTGATTAAGAGATTTTCTAGGAAACTCCCACCCTACCTGAACAAAATGCTCTCCTCGGCTGTTCCCACCTCCTATAACCTCCGATCCAATACCAACACTTTATTTAGTCTACCTCAATACAAAAGAAAGCAGCCCGATCTTCCTTCTCCTACAAAGCACCGCAATTGTAAAACGACCTCATGCACAATTTAAAAACTTCCCTAAGCCTAAAGTCCTCTAAGAGATCCCTCTCTACATACCTCAAAACGGAATGCACCTGTCATGGTTGCTTATATATTTCCTACCTGTTCTATGTTAAATTTTTTATATATTGTGTATTAATATAGTTTTTGCATTTTATTGTACCCTAATGTAACAATGCAATGTTTTGTGGACCCAGGACATACTTGAAAACTAGAGAAATCTCAGTGTATCTTTCCTGGTAAAATATTTAATAAATAAAATGTTCTGGGTTCTGCTTTCTGTCCTGCTCCGGTTCTGGGTTCTTCTAGTCTTGTCTTGTTTTCTTGTTAGGTGCCTGTTCTAGTCTTGCCTTGTTTCTGTACTGAATACATATCTGCTGCAGAGCCTCCCTATCCAGTTCCTGGGAGGTCTGCATATCATAAAGCTCTTAGCTCTTGGGATCTGCAGTAGCTGCATCAGGGCCCTGGTATGTGGCTGCACAAACGCTGGGGCTCAACACCAGGCGGCGTGTGGTTACCTGTACCAGGCCCTAAATGTCCATTTCCATGCTGAGATTCCCATCATATCATCAGGCACTCAAGGGTCCCAGTCTTCGTACCGCCATCTGTGACAGATATGCCTCTTAAATAGCAGCTTTCACCCACTATTCCTTCACAGCACGTAGTCCGTAGCACAATATTGAGGTGCAAAATGCAAAATAGTGCAGAAGTAATTAAAAAACTGCTAATACCAAATCACTGGGTTATTTGTATAAGGCTCAACGCGTTTCATTGATGTGACTTTCTCAGGAGCTTCTATCTTCTTCCCTGTCTTCTTCCTTTTAAATCCGCCGGTTCGTAGGTATTGTTTAGTCAACATGCATGCGCGGACCACGCCGGACGCGATGTACGTCATGACGCGCAGGCGACTGATTTTGCGCATGCCCAGCCACACTGGAACGCAAACTAACTTTATTGGTAATTTACACATCCGCATCTCCGAACATATATGCTTGAAAACGTTCGGAATCTTAGTTGTTCATGTTTACATTCCTGCCTGTATGTGTCTATATTCTAACATAGAGAAAACGAACACAACCAAGGAATGTATAAATTGGACTTGATGTAAAAAATAATAAATATAAAAATAAAATAAAAAATGAAAAGGAGAAAATGTGATATGTATGAAAGCGGTCCATTTATATATACATTGAATATACATTCCACCCTTATTACTTAACCTCATATATTCATAAGAAAGGAATATCAGAAATATTCCATATTAAACAAGAACAGTTATATTTTGATAAATCATAATTCACATATTATAAAACATCAAATATTGGGAAAATCACATATAAACAGTTCTTTCATATTGTTAAAAATGTGTATCATAACATACAGTGGTGTATTTAGGATTTGTGATGCCCTAGGCAGGATGGTGCTCGGACACCCCCCTTCACTCCCCCAATTTAAATTTTCCCCACCCCTTCCAGTCAAGGCCGCTATTTGACTGACAGACCGCACACACTCACTAATAGATGCATACACTCATTGACACACACTCTCATATACACTGACAAACAATGACAAACACACACACTCAGTGATTTGACACACTGATAAGCAGACACACACTGACAGACTCACACTCTCACTGACCGACACGTACAAACTCACTGACACACACATACACGCATTCATTCACTCAGGCACACACATACACGCATTCATTCACTCAGCCACACGCATTCACTCACAGACACGCATTCACATTTCCACCAACACTCAAAAATTATTTTTTATTTAATTTTATATCCACCCAGCATCCCTGGGTGGGGGGGAGCTTTTTTCCCGCCCCCTGCAAAGTGCCGCCCAAGGCAAATGCCTTGTTTGCCTTGTGTAAGATACATCCCTGAACATATATCATAACAATAAAAATGATAATAAAAATGTTGAAGATAAGAACAGGTGAGGTAGAACAAAAGGAGATAAAAAATAAAAATAATTATTAATAACATGGTATGCAGTATAATCATTCCATAAAAGTCAATATATCAAGATATGCATTAAGGCAAGATCTGCATTAAGGTACAGAGGATTTTAATCTATATATCCACTCCGTCTCTCTCATGGCTAGCGTCTTTTCTGTATCACCATCCCTCCAATAAGGGAGCATATCAATCCCAATATATAAAACATTATTACAATTAAAATCTTTACAAGTGGTGCAGTGTCTTGGGACGCTAGGTTTCAAATTCTTTTTGTTGATACCATTAAAATGTTCTAATAACCTTACATGTAATTTTCTATTGGTGAGTCCTACGCATTGGACACTTACACCTCACTGTAATAAATAAACTACAAATCTACTTTGACAATTGATAAAATGCTTTATCTTAAAAACTTCTTTTGTAATGGAATTCTGAAATTCTGTAGTTGTATTTGCTTGAAACTTGCAAGTGCTGCATCTTCCACATTTATAAAAGCCTTTTGGTTTTTCAGCTAAAAAATTAAAATCCTCTTTAAGATCTTTTTTAGGTAAAATACAAGGAGCTAAAATATTTTTAAATGATTAGTTTTCCTATAGATCACTTTAGGATTTTGGAGTAAAATCTCTTTAAAAAATGTATCTTGCAATTAGATTGGCCAATTCGTTCTAATAGATTTTTCTATTAAATCTGCCTTGTTGTTGTATTTTGATATAAATGCAAACTCTGAATTCTTGGCTGTGGTCTTTATTTCTTTTATTGAATAAAAGATCTTTCCTTTGGAGGTTTTCAACTGGTCTTTGTCCAATTTATATATTCCTTGGTTGTGTTAGTTTACTCTATGTTATTATACAGACACGTAAAGACAGGAATGTAAACATGAACTGCTAAGATTTCGAAAGTTTTCAAGCTTATATG